TTCAGTCTATATCTTTGTCATCCACTACTACCGACTCTGCGCCGACCTCCTCATAGTCTTTTTCCAGGGCGGCCAAATCTTCTCGAGCCTCGCTAAACTCACCTTCCTCCATACCTTCCCCAACATACCAATGTACGAAGGCATGTTTTGCATACATCATATCAAACTTGTGCGTGAGTCTTGCCCAAGCCTCGGAAACAGCAGTTGTATTGCTAAGCATGCACGCGGCCCGATTGACCTGTGCCAAGTCCCCTCCAGGCACAACAGTCGGAGGTTGATAGTTGATTCCTACTTTGAATCCGGTCGGACACCAGTCTACAAATTGTACAGTACGTTTGGACTTGATTGAACTGATAGAATCGTTCACATCTTTTGGAATCACATCACCTCGATAAAGTAGACAACAGGCCATGTATTTGCCATGCCGTGGATCACATTTGACCAACTGGTTTGCTGGTTCGAAGCAGGCGTTCGTTAGTTCCGCAACTGACATTTGCTCATGATAAGCTTTGTCAGCAGATATGGTGGGAGCGTACGTGACTAGGGGAAAATGAATACGTGGATAGGGGACCAGGTTTGTCTGGAACTCAACCAAATCAACATTTAGAGCTCCCTCGAACCTGAGCGACGCAGTGAACGAGCTGACAATTTGGCCAACCAGTCGGTTCAAGTTTGTGTAGGTCGGTCGATCGATTCCAAGATTGCGACTGAAAAGAATAATACGAAAGTAAGGTAGAAACATTAAACTATTTTGCGTAATGTTGGTAACGATTAATTTTTCCGCAATGCGCAGTCAGATGACATTGCGTTGTTTGAGTCAATGTTGGCCTTTCGTCTTTTTGTTCGTTTCATCTTATCTATTTCGCTGCTCTCAGTTTACCAAGTTAAAGTCATTCAGTCCGATCCTCATCACATATAACAACTGAACTCATAATTATGACAAAGTGCCTACTGGAAAGGTTATAGTGTCTTAGGCACCACAAACTACAGTGTACAGTGAAGAAACCTTGAGTCGTGGAACTATCATTTATGCAAAACAACGAAACCTTTTTGTTAAAACTGCTTTACATCTAAAGTTTTGAATAAATGCAAGTTAAAAGTTGGCTGGCCTGCATAACAGTAAACGTCGTTTGAAATTCCATTTTGTTCATTCATTCACTACTTACTTCATTTAATGGTGGTTCAACTTCGCTTTGATTCAGAAAAGAGTTGAAGTCGCACAGCTTTCTGACTGTTTAATTAAATTTACTCCTGAGATTCAACTGTCGGTATTTTCAATTGGTGTCAATTCTGCGTATTTGAATTCACATCCGTAAACACATTCCTGTAGTTTGACGAGCTGTCTACATGTTGATTAAATCAGCCTTTCTTTCATGTCTGACCAGAAATTTCAACACCTACTGATGCCAATCAAACAGCAAATGGTGGGCAGTTCGGTTTTGATACGTATTGCTACAGTGAGTGCGTAGTCCAGATTACCTCCAGCTTTGCCAAACCAATAGGTGACTTAATATGCTACCTGCTAACAACTGACGTATTGTAGAACTCACTTTAATAATGGACACATTTTGGGACCGTTGTAAAGCAGGTAAACTGGGACTGGGCAGCCTTTCAATTCAAATTTAGCTTATTAAGTCATACACTTAGTGTCTAGGCCAGCCTCTTCCGGGTTCTCAACAAGTAGTAGTTATCGGGCTTGAAAGAGTGAGCTTCGCCATTAGCAACAGCTTCTGGTGCATCCGCTTCGACAAGAGAATCGTAACGAGAAAACCATTTGATTCGGATTGCATAGCCCAATACCATATAAGTCCATTTACAGCCTCTTGCCTCGAAGTCACAATGCGTCATGATGATATACAAGTTTTCCTCAATAAATAACCAGCTAACTCTCTATGACGTTATGCCTTGCAAATGGGGAGGATCTCATCCAGTCTGCGTACATATTTGATCAGATGAGTCAAATTAAAGCAACGGACTTGTGCTTGGGTTTGATTCTTAGTTCCCTGACTGCGTCATGCATAACACATTTACACTTTCCCGTGTATCACTGACCTGTGTACTCATTCGAATGATTTAATTCACACTTCAGTCACACGTCCGACTGCAATCGATAACTACCGCCTGGTAGTTTCAGGCTAAAACTATTTTAAGACTGAGCACGCATGTGTATCATCTATAGCAGTTTGGAAGGCAATGTGGTAGAACTCGGGATACATTAGAGATGGACGAGTAGATAAGTGCCGTCTAAGGTTTCTTCCCATCAAAGTGGTCGAGCAAACTATCGATCACTGCATGCAAAAACTTTGTAAAGCGGTAATTTTTTCAGACGGATATCATCATCATCATCATCATC